TTGTCAAAACTACAAAACAAACCAAAGCAGATTATGCTCTCCCAATTAGTACACTCTTAGCTGTCCAACAAGGAAGCCTAAGTAGTCTACCGAGTTTTGGGTTTAGCACTAGATTCCTCAGAAGGTTGAGGAGTGTCGGGAATAGTAGTAAGGAGGCTAGTAATTTTACTAAGCAACTCATTCTGGTTTTCCTCATTCACCTTGGCTTTTTCTCTTTGCCTGAGTTCTAAGATTTTCTGCTTAGCTTTGGCACTAATCTTAAAAGGTTTAAACAGAGGTTTTTCTAATTGTGGTTGGAAAGATGAAGAAGCTACTTCTTCAAGTTTGGGTTTGACAGGATTAACAGAGATTTGATAACTTATATATATATATATATATATATATATTATAATTTAAAAATAGAGCTAGCAAAATATATTTAAATAAGAAAGTTATTTAATAATATATTTTTTATATTCTTAATTCTGTTATTATTAAATTAATATATTATGTTATAATTTTATTTATTTATAATTATAATAAACAGAAATTATATTCTATTAAAAATTAAAAATATTTATACATAATTATACTTTTTAAATAATAAATTTATTTAATAATAAATTATTATATTTAAACAATTTAAAGAATAGTTAAGTCTTTAAAGAGGAATAAGACGTAATCAAAACTAAACGAAACAAAATTTACAAATAAAATAATAAAATTATATTAACATATTTTTTATACTATTAATTTTATTAGTATTAATTTAATTATTTAATTATTATATTAATATCTTATGTTATAATTCTTTTTATTTATAATAAATAGAAATTGCTTAAATTTGAATTATATTTTATTTCAAAGTAAAAATTTATAAAAAAATGATAATAAAATAAAATAAAAAATTTAATATATATATATATATATATATATATATAATCAGACCATGTATCAAATAATATAATTATAAATAAATGATATAATAATATATATTTTTGTAACTTGCACGTGTTTTAATTAAATTATTAGTTAATTTATTAATTTATATGTAATATATAAGTATGTTTTTAATTTATTGTATCAGTAATATTTTCTATATTACATTAATGTTATAGTGTAGTTAATTTTACGTTTATTTGTTAATTTAAAATAAAAAAATAATGAAACAAATAAAATTAAATGTTTTGTAATTATTTTTTTAATTTAATAGTTATTATTGTTGTCATTATATATATTTATATATATATATATATACACATAGTATATTAAATTTAAATTTTTATATTAAGTTTTATCACGTATTTTTTAATTAAGATAAAAATTTAGAAATATAAGTTATTTTAATTTAACTATAAATTTTAATAATTCTTCCTATGCTCATATGTTATTTTTTTGCATCTATGAATTTTATAATATAAATATTTTTTATCTACAATTTTTATAATGACGATATTTATTTACTTTTTAAAATATAATAATTTTTTTAGCTGATTAAATAAATTTTGTAAGTATTATTTTTTGTTATCAATTTTATGTGTTTACTGTGATTTTATTTATTGAATATAAAATATCTTTATAAAAATAAAACATAATTATCATAAAAAATAATTAAAATATTTAATAATTTTATAATTTTATAAAATTAAATTGAGAAAAATAAAATATAAAAATTTTATAATACGGAAATATTTATAATTAATGCTCAAATAATATTTTAAAAATTATTTATAAATATGTATAAAAATTATTACAATTATTTAATAATTATCAATAAAACAAATAAAAATTTGAATATATATAAACTAATTTGATAATAAAATAATTATATTTTTATTAATATTATTCAATAACAACGATCATTATAAATTTTTAATGTTATACAAATTTTATTTTATTTTTTTAGTTTTTTTAAGCAATTTTATTGGTATATAATTTATAATAAAAAATATTATTGATTGTATTCACTATATCACAACAAATTACAAACTTAGCACAACCACATACCTCTTAGTCGAAGCTGTTATCGCACTTATTTTTTTATTTTTGTTTTATTATTATCTATAATTACTTTGAATATAAATATAAGGTAAATTATTATATTTGTTTGAACAAGTCAAAAAGCAGCAAAGTCTTCAAATAAGATTAAAACGCAATCAAAATTAAAGAAGCTAATATTTAAAATAAAATAATAATATTATATTAATTTATTTTTTATATTCTTAATTTTATTATTATTAATATTTAATTATTATATTAATTTATGTTATAATTTTTTATTTATAGTAAATAAAAATTATATTATATTCAAAACTAAAAATATTTATACACAATTATACGTATTTAAAAAATAAATTTATTTAATCATAAATTATTATATTTGTTATATTTAAATAAGTTGAAGAAGAATAAGATATGATTAAAACTGAACGAATTAAAATTTAAAAATAAAATATTAATATTCTTTTAATAAATTTTTTATATTTTTAATTTTATTGTTATTAATATTTAATTATTATATTAATATATTATGTTATAATTTTTTATATTTATAATAAATAAAAATTGCTTAAATATAAATTATATTTTATTTGAAAGAAAAAATTTATAAAAAATGATAAGAAAATAAAATAAAAAATTTATTGTAATATATATTAATACACACACACAGATATATATATAATTAGACCATGTAGCAAATAGTATAAATAATATAATTATAAATAAATTATATAATAATATATATTTTTGTAACTTGCACATGTTTTAATTAAATTATTAGTTAATTTATCAATTTATATGTAATATATAAGTATATATTTTAATTTATTGTATCAGTAATATTTTCTATATTACATTAATGTTATAATGTAGTTAATTTTATATTTATTTATTAATTTAAAATAACAAATTAATGAAACAAATAAAATTAAATATTTTGTAATTATTTTGTTAATTTAATAGTTATTATTATTGTCATTATATATATATATATTGCATTAAGTTTAAATTTATTTATTTTTTAAAACATAATAATTTTTTTTAATTGATTCAATAAATTGTGTGAATGTTATTTTTTTTTTATCAATTTTATGTGTTTACTATAACTTTATTTGTTGAATATAAGATGTCTTTAAACAAACAAAATGTTTCTAAAATAAAACTAAAATATTTACTATTTATGTAAGTTTAAAAAATAAATCAAGAAAAATATAAATATAAATTTTATTAATATAAAATATTTATAATTAATACTTAAATAATATTTTAAAAATTATTTATAAAATTATATAAATATTATTATAATTATTAATAACATAATAGAAATTAGAAAAATATATAAACTAATTTGATAATAAAATATTTATATTTTTATTAATATTAATTTTTTTTATAACAGGCTTCAGGCCAGACTAAGTCTAAAATAAAGCTTTTAACATGTAATAAGTTAGGTTCAAGCCTAATAATTATGTTACAGATCAGGCCTATTTAGAATAAAGTCTGACCTGACTTGGCCTGTTTCCATCCTAAATCTAATCCACATAACACCTAGTCATCCTGCCTTATTTAAAAAATAAGCTAGGCTTAAGATTTTTTAAAGATTTTTTAACTATATATAAGTTTCAAGCTATTTGAGAGGCCTATTAAATCCATTGAGCCAGTTCATTTGATAGATTATTCTTATTACACTTAAAAAGAAAGTGAAAACCTTAAATAAGAAACATCTCTTTCGTATTTTACCTTGTGCAATTACTACTTCAAATTATGTTATTACTATTTTAAGGATAAAATACTATGATTATACTCATTTAAACTCAATCTCGCTTAAACTGTTCTCCATCTTATTCATGTTTTGTTTATCCTTACTTGACTCCCTTGCTTCTTAACATTTAGATAGCTTTCCATCATGATTAATGTTGAAAGCTATAAATTCATCCTTGTAGTTGGCCTTACTTGTTCAATGATTAAGAAGATGAATCCTGTAGTTACTAGTAAGCTTATTTTGTGTACAATGACTGACGTGTATGTTTTTCTTTATGCAACTTGTGGTTTTGTTGATCTCTTTATATAAGATATAATTATAGAAAGATATGACTTTTATTTTTCCTTCCTTTTTGTGTGACTTTCTTTATTTCTTTATAAACAATTTTTTTGTTAGATTGTCAAAATATGTTGATGAGTTGATGAAAGATGATAATGTTAAAGAGTGTGACGAGTACTTTAACGAGATTTTGTATATTAAAGCTAGGCCAAACTTTTAAACCGACTAGGCCTAACTTTGAAAAAAGGTTGACACAAGTAAATAGGCTAGGTTTATGATAAATGGAGATTACTCTAAACTCAGACCTTGCTTGCGTGATTTATCTTTATTTTTTATTTTTTGTTAAGAAATAAATTAAATTTAGCACTTGTACACTCTATTATTTCAATATAAATATAATAATTAAGGTATAATTTATCTTTTATTATTCTTAACACATTGGTAAATTTTGTATATGAACTTAATTACAAGAAAGTTTTGATGTTATGGTATTTTCAAACTACCTAATTTATAATAAATTCATTTTATTATTATACCTCATTATATATATATATATATATATATGTATATATATATTTCAAATAAGAAATTAAGTTCATTACGCTCCTCCGTTCCATCCCTTTCTTTCAAGTTTTCCGTTGTCCACTTCATCTCAACACTTTGAAGTGTATCTTTTAACCCCTTTCTTTCAAGTTTTCCGTTGTCCACTTCATCTCAACACTTTGAAGTGTATCTTTTAACTGATAACCAAAGAATAGTTCCTCTTTGAGACAAAAAAAATTACCGAAGCAGATATAGTCTCTTCCAATCAGGTCTTTTCCAAGCAAAGTCCTTATTGACAATTATTTACTCAAAACGCATAACTACGTGGGGAAGGGGGGATTTATAGCATGAGAGCAGGAAGAAGAAACCTTCCTCCCTATAACATAATGATTAACTTCTAACATGATAAATCTGTTTGCTTCAACCGTCTATCAGTAGGAAATAGAAATTAAGACAGCAAAAATGTTGGGATGCAACCGATTTAATACTTTCTCAGAATGGGAAAAATAAGGGATGACTGAAAATGAGATGCACCTTTCCAATTTGATCCTCTTTATCAACTAATAGACTGCTAGGAACAATGAATGCTTGGTTAGATTTCTGCCTGCCTGACTCTTTAAAGACAAACAAAACCAAGCAAAAATCATCAACAGGAAAACCCTTCGAAAACAAATATCTTTGGACAAACTGCTTCAAGTCAGCAACCTTACATCCATGAAAGTAGATGTCCTATTCTAAGAGCATACCCAATAACAATATCTCAGGAACATATCCATTTTATAAATCATCAAAGAGCATTTATCATTCTCTTCATCTCAGCAGACCTCCTGGGATCTGGTTCTTCAATTGCTCTCTCAGTAAGTACTTGCTTGATGCGACACATTGACTTTCTCACCTGATTTCACATAATAAATTAAAAAAAAGCATTGATACCCGTGCATTCTTCTCTTTTTCTCTCCCCCTCCCCCCCCCCACACACACGAGTTTCACATCCAAAATTCAATTTCTATCTATTCAGTTCAATAATTAACATTGTTCAGGAAGAGAAAATAAAAGCACCATCACTGATTCTTCTACACCAAAAATCAAAATAATTAATGTTAACAAGGGCAACACATGAGTAAAGCAGAACAAGTGCAAAGAAGTGAAGTAATACCTTGGGGATGCGCTCTGGGTTATGAAAACGCAGGTTCTGTGCATAAAGCATCTGCCGTTGAGTCATCAACATGTTCTTCTCCTTTAACAATACATACCACAACTTATGAAGATCATCCCAAGATTTCAAACGCAGTTCAGAGGCCTTCCAACTCCGACCTAACAACAAGAAAATAATTAAGTAAATATACAAAACCATTACCAGAACAAAAGTGGAACAACCTTCAAAGGTCAATCGAGAAAATCAGAAATTTTGGTTATACTAAACATGTGTGGCTATAATGAAAAACAGTGAAATTTTTCATTCTAAATCCAAATGAAAACAATAGGTGCACAGAGCATACCATAAACAACAGGTTTGTCATCCTCAGGGCTCCTGTCTGCCTCAAAGAACTCCTGCAGGGGGTTGAGTCCTTCCCTGCCACCACCAGCAGCTGTAGTGGCATAATGTTTTGATCTAGAAGCAGCAGCAAAGAGTGTTCGTCCAAGTGTTCTTGACAAAAACATGGCTGCAATGCCAATCATATTGATTATACAATGTAAGAAACCAGACAAGTGAATGCCCATGCAACCAACGTCACGTAGATTTTGCAAGTGGCACACTGTTGGGTACTATCATGTAACATTTGAAAAATCACATTATGTCAGAAACAGTGCTGGTGTATTGGAAGAAATGAAGGGGGAAGAAAGTGCGATACTGAAACTCAAAGTTCTAGTGGCAGAGCCTGCTTTTCCTATTCTTCTACACCCAAATATGTGAGGAGTGGATTGGGTTTATAGTCTGTCAATATGAGCCAACCCATCCCACTCAAACCTAGCCAGCCAACCAGGGCCAAGGCTATAAGGCCCAGAAAACAAAAGCTAATAGTGCCCAAAAAGCCCACAGGGCCAAATGGCCTAGGGCCAACTCACTGAAAAAATGAAAGTTATTGAAGGAAGGACATTCTTATCTCAAGAGAGAGGCAAACAGAAAGCAGAATGAAAACATTGGTTAACTAAGTTTCACAACTAAAATTGCTACTTCAGTATTATATTAGTTGTATGACTCAGGACACCGCCTAATACCCTACACTTGCACAGTTGCACTCTTACCTCACTATATATCCAGGAAATGAAGCAAATCTACAAGAAAACACACAGATAAGGGGTAAAGAAAAGAAGGAAACAAGAAGTCACACACAGATAAGAACATTATCAGCCCCCCACCATCCAATACTGGTGTTGGTTCTAATTGCTGTCCACATTGGAATGAGTTTTGGATTGTAAAAAAATGTAAATTAATTAATTGAACTCAATAATCATTCATTCAACATTTTTGTAAGCTTAACCGTTGTTTGAAGTTGAAAAAACAGTTATTCATATATGCCATTATCAATTACACATAAGCTTGATTAATCCCTGTGCATGAGCTTTATTAAACATTAGCTTTTCCAGTTGCTTTTCTGGCTTAATTTATTTCACCATCATAGACAGCAGTTGCTTTTCAAACCTATGCAGAAAATAAACCTTAGCTGTTTATTCTGTGGGCTGTTTCACTGATAATTTACAAATAAAAGGCTAGCATAAACCAGTGTTAATTTACAAACATGGGACTCGGTGAGCTTAGCCATCAACATTTTTATTCTCTCAAGTTTGTCAAGTAGCATCTAAACAACTAAAAACAATTATGAACACAAGACACCAGGGTGGAACTCGAACATAGGTCGTACCCTGGACCCTAAAATCATCATTCGAGGGAAAAATATTTTTTCATGATTTAGATCAAACATCAAACAGTTTGTGGGCAAAATCAAATGCATTGCAAAAAGAAAATGTAAACAGAATGTGAAGCATCATGGGCAAACAAATAAACAAGTAACTACTTCATATGAAATTTCCGAACAGAGAGACAGACAAAACCTCGTATAAGAAGAAAATTGGATAAATAATAGAGTCAGATCCACAAACAGCATAGCAACAGTGCCAAAATAAAGCCATGAGCAATGAGAAAATGAGAATAAAAAAATATGACTCGAACCAAAAAACAAGAACGAAACAAACCTGAATAAAATGAATTACCGGCAATGCAAAAATGAACCCAAGCAGTGAAGAGAGAAACTATGAAGATGAATTCATGGCAAAAGAAGATAAATGTTAGGTCAAGGTTTAAGGGATTTTGGGGTTGAAGACAGCGAGTGGGAAATATATTTTTCCCCTAACTCTTAGACAATAGTTTAAAAATTTAAAAAGTTATATTTTATTGAAAAATGTATAAAGAATGTATTAAAAAGTATAATAAATATGTTTTAATAAATTTTTAAACAATTTATTTATTAGATTTTTTATTTTTATTTTTTCTCTGAATAAATTTTCTTGTTAGTAATTATAAATTGAATATTTAAATTACTAACATTTTTATTTTAATTTTATAAAATACAAATTATTTTAATTTTAATATAAAATAACAGTGAAAAATAAAATAAAACATTAAGACACATGACTTTTTATAAAGTTAAAAAGTATAAAATTTAAGCACTAAAATGCTCTATTAATTAAAATTTTAGAACATATTTATTTTCTTTTTAAAAAAGAATTATTTTAAAAAATATAATCTAATATAAATTTATATAATTTTTATTTTTATTTTTAAGAACAGAAAACTCTTTTTAAAATAGAAAATAAACATACTCAAATCATCTATTGAAATTTCTTGCATGAACTTCTAGATTTTTTTATTTTAGTGCATAATTTAATTTATCTTACTGAATTAATTCTTAATTTTTTTTCTTTTTTAATATCCTATTAAACATATACTTAATTATAAAAATTTCCAATAAAAATATTCAGAGTCTAAAAATCATTTAATAAAATTTAAATAAAATAATTTAATCTGAAGATTTTTATTTCTTTCAAAATATTATATTCCACTCATAAAATACTTTAGTTTTCTTTAGAAGTTTTTCAATTAATGTTTATAAAAAATTCAAATTAAAAATAATTTTTTCTTAAGTTAATATTAATTTATGTTTTTTTATTTTTTATCTATTTAAAAAATTTAAAATGTAAAAATTAGTTTTAATTTATAAAAAATTATTATATTTTTTCTTATATATACTTATTTAAAAATTTAACGATTATTTAAATATAAGTGAATTAAAGCACTCCCTTACCATCTTATCTAATCCTTTACGACACAGTTTTTTGTTTATTTAATATTTTTCTTTTAAATCTAGTCTATATGGTATTACTTTGAGTTTTTTTTTTTCTTTAAAATATTTTATAATTTTTATTTGACGAGATGGATTATACCTTTTTATTTATATCATTTTTAATTTTAATTATAATACATTTTATGCCTTAGTTGTTAAAAAAATGTTATGAGAACTGTAAGATATATTTTTTTATTAAAAATTATATTAAAACATAGGAAAAGTATGAAAGTAAGTATATTTTTTTAAACTTTTAATAAAATCATTCCATTTTTAATTCTTTAACCGATACTGTTAAACACAAATTAGCATTTTTCAACTTTATTTATTAAATTGTTATCACATAAATATTTATATAATAAATTTTATCATAAATTTATTAAAAATGAACTAAAAAAATTATAATGATAAAAAAATTAATTTGGTTAGCTTCAGTCTTTTTTTCAACTTTTTTTTCTTCAAAATCAAAATTTAATTATAATACATTTATGCCTTAATTGTTAAAAAAATATTATGAAAACTCTAGGATACATTTGGATAAATAATTAGGTAAAATTTCTATTTAATAATTTTTTAACATATAAAGATGTATAAGAAATTTTATCATAACAATTATTAAAAATAAATTTAAACAACCTATTATAATTATAAATTCAATTTTGTTAACTTTAATCTTTAAAGTCAAGTTTAAGCCTCTAAACATAGTAAGTTTTTGTTAAAAAAAAATATTTATTACTTTCTTTTATTCACATGATAGGTATTATTTATTATTTAAAAAATACAAAAGTGTAACAAATATATTTTAATTGAAATATTATTATTAGTTGTTTAAACTCTACTATAAGAACTCATGTTAATATATTTTTGATAATTATGTCCTTAAAATTCTATATATATTTTTTTTTATAAAAACTCTTTTAAATACATCTTTAAGTTGTTATCTAAATGTAAGGAAATTTTTTATCAATATAATAAATAAACGAGCAACAATATAGATTGATTAAGAATTGAGAAATTTCACTCTAACTTTCAATAAGATGAGAAGAAAAAGGAGAACAAAGAAAAATATTTTGTTTGGTGGCATACCAGTGCAGAGAATAAACAAGCATAATACAAAATTTTGAAACAACAAATGTAAAAAGACACAATAATCTAATTGTTAACCACCATTAGTTTATAGCAACATTAGTGTCTACTTAACTTGTTAAATTCATAATTAAAAATGTAAATTTGCTAAGTAAGTATAGAAAAGAAAAATTATTCTTTATTTATAATGTACTTGTTAAGTGTCCTTCTTAAAATGTTTATTTGATTCTTGATAAGTCTATATTTTGAAGTATTATTTTATCTTATCTTTATACACTTAACATCTATTTAATGAAAATTTTATACTGATCTACTTATTAGTTATTGTAGTTTGACATGAATCAATCACCAACAAGCAAATTAAGGAAGTGTTTTCATCACAATTAAATTTTTTTGTTTTATAGAAAGCAAAGCCATTAAGTAAGAAGTAAAGTCTTACTTGACAATAAACTTGTAAGTGCTTTGTAGTCATGCTTGTCTTCTAGTGGTTTGAATTTAGAGATATTTTAGGATTTTATAACCCTATTTAAAGGAACTTAAGGTGCTTCTAAGAATAATTTTTTGTCTAATCGACTTTTGACGATTCTTGGCGTCTTTTGGTCATGAGATCATTAGTGAAGACAAGGAATACTTTTTTAGAGTGAGTGAGAGATCAAGAGCACATCTTGAAAACAAAAACACTTCTCATCTCTTTCTCTTTGAAATTTCTCTAGTTTGCATTTATATTTCGAATGGATATGAATTTTTTACAATTGCTTTCTTTGTTTATTTCATTGAGTAACTAAATTCATAGTTAGGGTTATGATGAACTCCTTGCACACTTTATATGATTTTTATATCTAATGACAATTGCAATTTTCTTTCTAGATTGGTTTTGCTCTATTGTGTTTATACTTATATGTTTAAAACTAATCACTCTTAACATATCATAATTGATTGCATTATAGGCAATCATATCACATTTAATTAATGAAACTATAAGCTAAAACGAGATAAAGAATTAAGTAAATCAAATTTAGTTTTTTTCTTTCAATTAGTTATTATTTTAACAAACTCAAGTTTTTTTTTTTATGCTTTCTCTAGCTTTTTGTCTTGCAATATCTTTAAGGATAATAATTTAAGAGAAAAAAATGCTATTGTATAGCTGTTAAATGTTAATAGTTTTAATATGAGTGATTGGCGATAATAAAAAAAATTAGATTGAGATTAAATTAAAATTGAATATAAAGAAGAGTAAAGGTGAAACCAAAAATCCTAAATTTATCTTGAAAAGTTTTCGTGTTAGAAGTTGTTATCTTCTTAATCTTTTAGTTATTTTCTCTTTAACTCTTTCACACTTTTATTTTATTTTATAATGCATGATTTAGATTCAAACAATTAAATTATGATATTCTTAATAATTGAAAAAATATCTGTAAGATAATAATTTGAAAACTCCTTTATTACTTTTAAATGGATATACCGGCTCATAAATAGTCCTAATATTTTAAAGCTTGTATGTCATCCATGTTATATATGTAAAAAGGCTTCCTTTTATGTTTGTTAGTAATAATTTTTTTTTTCACTTTCTTTAAATGCAATGTAGCTAGTTATTATTCTAGAGTTTGAAATTCACCCTATCATAGATGGTAATTGTTCACATACACTATGAAAGTATGTAAACAGTTAAATAAAGGAAATGGCAATAAAGTTACCTGTGAAAGTGCTGATTTGGATATTATAACCTAAGTACAATAATAATATGTTGGATGTTTTTACTTTATTGTAAAGAGCTTGAATATCAATCTGCGACAAATATCTATTGCTTGTATGTCATCCATATTTTTTGGATTAATTGAATTAGTACTTTGTATTTAACTATATAGTCACGTACTTACTAAATATTTTGGTTGTAAAGACAATGTTTTACTTTACTCATTATATATACTATGATTATTTATTTATTTTATTGGTTTCAAATATGAAATTAAAGGCAAAGAAAAAAATAATTAAGACAACATTTTAATTCACATTGATTTCATTTCATAAAATGTTTACAACATAAACCATACCTTTTACATCTCTGCAAACACTAACATCCGTATGACACAACAAAAACTACAAACACATTACTCAATTACAAAATATTTGAGTGTTGTAATCTCAGCCTCCAAAGTTTCAATCTTCTGAACCATATTAATCTTCATTTTCTTTTATTGAATTCATTACATCTTCAACAGCTTCAGTAGTAGCACCATTATTTCCTGAGTCTAGCCAACAAAAGTATATACAACCTTATTCACCTTGCACAAATCAGAAAATAACATTATTTTGGAAAAAAAAAATAGTGACAATAAACAACATAAATAAAAGAAAATTAGAGTAAAACCATTATTCTATAGTTAGGACACTCGTGGAGCAACCTACTATGATTTGTCACTGATTTTCAATAGTCTCACTACAGTTCTCCAACCACAAAAACAAAACCTACTCCTATCTCTTGTGAAATGTGCACCACTGTGTTGAAAAAACGAACTTCCATTGGAGCTTCTTTCATACTACAGTGATATTATTGTTTGGGATTTGTTTCCATCACTAGCCATTTGATTCCACTGTTGAAAGTGAGCAATGATGGAGGTTGAATCAAATTGGATAGTCGGGAGAAGAAAATGGATTAGGATTTTGTAAAAGAGAGATGAGATGAGTATTAATGATATTTGTCCGGAGTAAAACAATGTTGTATTCAATATATGTTGCCAAACAATGTTGACATGTAGTTAACGTGTCAAGTAGGAATTTTTGTTAATAAATATTAACGATGATTGAAGTCAAAGACTAATATAAAAGACATTTATGGAAGGTAAGAATTAAAATAAAGTGTTAATTAAGTTAAGAACCATTAGAAGATAGGAACAAAATTACCTATTTACTCCAAATTTATTTTATGCATGTTTTGAATTCATGGCTGTGCCTGTTAACTTTATAACGTCTGTCTACTCATTAGATAGTTGATTGTGCTGTACTGGAAGCGCATAAGTGTTTCGTAAAATGGGCTTGGAGGTTGGAGCCACGTTAATGGTCACAGTAACAGCTTAAGCAAAGAAAACAAAGAAACGTTAAGCAAAATTTCAATGGACAAACAAGGAACTCTGAAATCTCAGTACACTCCTTCAAAGCCTTAACTCAAATCTATGTTGCCAAAATTTCTCCATAGGTTTCTATTTATTTTCTTTAACTTTTTTCTTTCACATCTTAAAATTTTGATGCCACAACAGTGAACACTGAACAAGACGAAACAATAACTAATCTACGTCCGAACACAACAGACATCATGGATTCCAACGACAATGCAATTTTCCTGTTGGGTTTGGTTTCTTCTCTCTATATTTCCCCCTTTTCTTTGTTTTACATGTTTCTCATTATTCTTCTTGTTTTATTTTCCTGATCTTACAAATTTGAATCAGCCTAGACAAAATCTGAAACACCACACCCAAGACCCAAGAAAAGTACAAAAATACGAAGGTAAGTACGATGGGAGAGGAAAAAGTTCCAGAAGAGCAAAGCATTAGATGATATCAACCACCCCCCACCCACGTGTCACTGAAACAGTTTTGTCATGGGTCAGAGCACATGTAGATGGGGCACACATCACCATCTGTTTCTATTACTTGCATAGCTGCATTGTACGATTTGTACTTCCCATGTTGTCTCCAACAAAGATATATTTATTATCTTGTAAATAACTGAGCAATGCTCACCCCACACACATTAGCCAACCATGCAAATCGAAAAAGGGAGAAAAGAAAATGAAAGATAAGAAAGGAAATGGGTGGGGGTGTACTTTAGTAAAACTCTTGGCCTGTAACTACATATAATAAGATTCTTATTGCTTCCCATCCAGGTGCTTGGATTTGAGGTGCACCAAAAATAAACCAACATTGATAAATTGAAGGAACAGCTAACTGCTTGGTCAATTCAGCAGATCAAAAACCATCAAGTGTGTAATAGATGAGAAATTCTGCAGAATCTGAATGCAAGCACGGGTGAAAAAGTCAACTTTTTCAATGATCACAAATTAGCTTAAAACAATGCTTTCAATATGCACAATAGACTTGCATTCAACACAGGTATGAGGGGTCATCGTTTATAAGTATATTTCCACCAAGATGTAGACAAAGATAAACACACAGGAATCAAGAAACAACCTACCCGCCCTTCTTTCCCATCATTTAATCCTACTTCCATTACAGGACTGTATAAAAACTGCCATAACAGGTTATACATAATGAAGAAGCTGCTTGAGTCAGTAAGAAAACAACACATCATTCAATCAAACTAAATATATCCCATGTATTACCTCAAACTGAAAAATAGACTCTTCAAAGAAGATTGGTGATTTCTTGTATTTTCAAATAGTTACTACAAGTTGACTCACCCATTCCATGAACTTTATGTCTGGTTGATGCTACTAGATATATAGTACCAATCTGTTTGTTAATTTCAAAACACAGACCATTCTGCATCCAAATATTTAAAATAAATTATAATTTTCTTCCTCTGATTGATGAGAGCAAAACTTTCTTTTCAAAATAAGTTCTAACAGCATTCAACTCTTATGTCGACAAGGCTACAAACCAGATAGTGTACTATATTTAATTATTGAAATTCAATCCTATCAGTTCAGACTCCATTGAAAATCATCAAATAAGTTCTATTAATAACATCAATAGATAACATAGAAGAAAGTCACAGACACCTCATTCCGCTTTATATCTCGAAGACAGTAATTCCTGAATGCTAACTTTATCGGCCCTCATCTTGATCATTATTGCACAAAAATAAAATAAAGTCTACCGCCTTCCTTATTTGTCTTCCATGACCAATAATTTCTGGAACTCTTTATGGTTAATTAGATAGAAAACATTCTCATTGATTCATCTAGATTTACCTGAACAGAAGCAAGCACAACTTTGATTGAGACAAACAGAAGTATACAGCTTGACTGGTGTGATTAAACACTGTTATTTGAAAAGGCCTACTACTAGAAAAGTAAAAAGGCAAGGACAAAAAGGTTACTCCTAATTTTTTTATGTCTCACTTATATTTTTCTGCAACATAGGGAGGGAAAGGTGAAGCAAAGGATGACAGGCAATGCAAACAAGGATTGGGAAGATATGAGACGGTTAAATATATATTTAAAAAGGGTAAGAGAGAGTAAAGAAGAAAGCTGAGACCAATTACAATTTTGCAATGCTTCAATTGAACTTATGAAAATGGTCATTGCAACCCAACATAGTACCAAGAGCTAATTATTCACCTGTCACGGTGCCAACATTTGAAAAGCCATCATGATAATTTAAAATGAAAAGACTCAGATCTGTGAACCTTCTAATACTGTATCTATTACTCTAAATAGGAGTAAACATTTACCCCCCAAAAAGTGGGCAGATATTACCCATGAGCCAGAATCATCTCCCGACAAGTGAAGATTGCTCATTCCATTCAGAAGAAACCCATATAGCACTACTCACTAAAAGTAAACACCTCAGCATCCCATCACTGCGCAGTTATACACAAAGCTCCCCGATTGCTTGCTAGCAAGCAGGTTCCACTGTGGTGCACCTTCACCTGGGACACATGCATTGATCTCAATTACCCTTCCATCCAAAGCTCTTGGCCCACCAATAACAATTAGGCGATTTCCACATGCTCGAAAGGCTAATCCCCAGCCATTCATCGAGACTATCCGGTCAGGTAATCTTCCAATAGTGACCCATGTGTTACTGTCTTTATTATATTGCCTTACTTCTTGCTGGGCATAATCTGCAGCATACAATACATTATTTACAACTGCAACTAAAGGAGGTGCCTCAGCAGCAGCTGGTACCTCAGTCACCCCAGATCCCGCATTACGCCCAGGGAACATGTTGGGTATTTCACGCCATTTTCTTGTCTGCAAATCAAACTCCTCACCACTTGTAAGTTGCTTTGAGTTACCAACTCCAATTCCACCAATGACATAAAATTTTCCATCTAAAAATACACCAGAACACATTTTCCTTGCTTTATTCATGTTTGGAAGAACCTCCCAAGTTCCAGTTTCTGAGTTATAAAGCTCAACTGAGCTCAAGATGTTGCCCCGTGGATCACAACCACCAGCTAAAATGGCAACTTCTCCAAGGCTGGCAGAACCGAACAAGCATCTAGGAACATTCATTTCCATACCAGATGACCATGAGTTCATCAAAATGCTATATCTGTAAATGACAGGAGACATTATTTCCTTCCCAAAAACGAGAAGCTCAGTACCAACAGCCAATGACTCCTTATCTGAACAGATAAAACATTCATTAGAAGGCATTCTAGGCAAGCGCATCCATCGACCGCTGTTTGGATCAAACGCCTCCCACTCCGGGAGATTACAAGAGAAGTAAACCCAATGCTCTATGATACCCATCTGCCGCCTCAGCCTATAAAGCTCTCCAGTCCGAATGAGAGATCGAAAACTTTGATTCAATGAGGCAATTGAACCATAGTCAGACCTTGAGCATCGTAGGAGACAATTAATTGAGATGTCCCGACCGAGTTGGTAGATAAGTGAACTTGAGTCTGACTGATCACCGGCATGGTTTTGGTCATTCACTTGGTTATGGGATAAGGAAAGATCAGAGATATTCTTCAGTGTTTCCCTTTCCTCAGGAACATCTGAAAGCTTGCATGACTTCCTCAACACAGCTTCTTCCTCTAGTTCCAGTCGACGCTTAGTGTTCACAAGCTTCATCACACAGAAGGTATTGTAAATCCACTCACTCTCTGGCTCACACGAGCTTGGCAAGTCCCTTGAAACAAGAAAGGTTGGACCCTCCAACATGTCGACAGAAAGAATCAATCTGTTACAAAGAAGAGTGTTGTTTCTTACCCATAAAAAGTATTAATAAGCAGGGAAACTCCATTACACCGGTGACAGATGCTTACAACAAACATACGCCAATTTTAAGCCAAAATTACGAAACCATAAGCATCAATTTTACATGTGACACAAAGAATACCAATAAACAAGACGCAGATGTGCTGAATCACAAACACCCTCTTGGTGCCATGATTTAGCACAGAATTTAGTGCATGCACACAGATCAGAAACATGACTATGAACATGGAAGTGGTGGCACAAGCCAACCACACACGATAATCAGACTTCAAAAGAAGATTAAAACCAGATACCCAAAAATCAGATCTCACTAGGTGACTTAGCATAAAAATCTTAGAAATAAAAATAAAAAAGGAGGGAATTTTGAAGAACTAATCGGATTAAAAAAATAAAACCAGAATCAAAATGATAGTATGCATGTCCAAATTCAAAGCCCACAATTTTTCATCATTCAATAAATCAACAGAAGAAAAATAAAAAGATCACTTGTAATTTACATTGGCAACAACCCAATATACCCTTCCCCTTTTTTCAGTTCAGAGACTGAAAATCACAAAGGCAAAGCAACAAAAAGCTCAGAAAGTCAAACGAACTATAAATGGGAACCCCCATAACCAGAAAAAAAAAAGAGAACAGAAAAAAAAAAGACAGAAGAAAAGCTTACGAATTTAGTTAAAATAGAAGCGAAGTGCAAACGGTTTTCCGGTGCTTTCTCCAGCTTACGGTTCTGCAGGCAAATCACGCAAAGAGCGAACAGCGTCTCTTTTTCTCTCCCTCTTTGTGTGTGTCATTTGGTTGTGGCTATGTTGGGCGGTGTGTTCTTGCGGTGCGTTGTGTTGTGTGTGTGCTTTGTGTTGTGTCAATAGAACAATCGATGCAAGGGTGAGATTTGTTTATTTATAATAATTTATGTAATTGATAATATTATGTAAAAGAAAAAGAAAAAGAACAATTAAAAAGACAAAGAAAAAAAGGAGAAGGGAGGTGGGACCTACAAGTTGATGGTAAATGTGATGGGTGGAGTCGCCGTTTGGATTGCGGCCTTGGGATGGCTAAGTTAACGGCTGTTTTCTGCACGTGCTGCAAACTCGGTTTTCCATTTCCTGCGTTACTCATTATTCTCTGTTGCTTACTTTTTTTACTCCCACCATCATCATGCTTTTTAGAATATAATTTTTTTTTATTTTTAAATATAAATATTAATTTTTTAATTTTATTAAAATTAAAGTAAAATTTTTATAGTGTCAAATTAAAATAATTAAAACTTAAAATTTAAAAAGATAAATGAGTATTTACTTGTTTCTTTTTTCTCTCTTATTCAACTTACACATACAATATACTTGTATACATAATGTGAAGATCAAATGACATCAAATATTGAATTCAATAAAATATATTTATAAATATTTTATAATTTTTAATTAAATATAAATTTTATTAATCTAATTATTAAATTTATATTATTCTTACAAAATTTAAATATTTAAAAATATATAACTTAATAATATTTAGTTATATTTTAAATAATATATTATCCATTCAAATAAAAAAATGAAGTATCAATTAGCATTTAAATTATATAAAATTTTATCGAACGAATTTATTGTACTAAAATATTAAATTGAATGGTTAGTTTGATAAAACTTATTTTTATATAAAGTTATTGAAAATGTAGTAGATTTTTTATTTTTATTTAAAGAACAATTTTGGAGAACAATTCTAAATATTGCAACATGGTAACAACTCTAACTCTTCTTACTTCTCAATCTCACACTCACAACAACTTCTAAGTATTTTACCCGTACTATTTCTCTGCACATTCATTATCATTGTAGCAGTTCACTTCAGAGTTTAGAAAAATTAGAAAAAATGAAGTCGAAAGGAGAGTTAGAGATTAAAACTTAAAATATGAACGTAAAAGATTTAGGGTTTTATTTTTCATATTCCTCAAATATTTTACTTTTACAAAAATGGAATTAAGAGGTAACAACTCTTTATTTTCGTTACCTTCTGATTTACTTGAATTTATTTATTTTTAAATATAACACAATTTCTTGTTTTAGGGCAAAAGGGTAATGTGAATTTGTAAGCAACGTTAGCTTCTGAAAAGCTTCACAACATTAAAAAGCAAGCAAATTTAAAATGTTTTTATTGTAGGTTTCTTTGATAGGAGTGGAAACGATTTTTGACAGGTTACGACTATAAAATTATGATTTTTCTTATAAATTATTTATTTTCATTTTTCATTTATAAAAGAAAATTGTGCTTTCTATTTGATTGGTCAATTCAATTCTTCGTACAACAAGATAATTGGGCAAAATATAATTTAAACTAAAATTTGTAATTTTGCATGTTTTAGCAATATCATTTTCCTTCATCATTCATAACCATATACATAATTGATATCATACTTATAAAATTAATAGCTTATTATAAGGTTTTAGGTTGGTGGATCTTACTTATTTATTTTGAATCATTCATTTGGAATATATTGTCTAATTTGTGGGCTCACAACAAATGTAAGATATTGGACACTTATACTTTTTAATAATTTTTTATAGAGTATTAGATTAATCAATTTAATCATTGAATTATTTTATATTATCTTTATAATTATTTATATCAAATTTTACATAATTTAAACATTTTTTAGTATATTATTTAAAATTAAATATTTATTTATATTTTAAAAATATAATATTCGTTAAAATAAAGTGATATGATAAAGTATTTATTAATTTTTATTTTCAAATGAAATTTTATAAAGTTGATCTACTGAATAAGAACATTCAAATAAATAGTTAGATTAGTCAATCTCACATTCTATAAAAAGTTATTAAATATTGTAAGTGTTTAACTTTGATACTTAGTGTCATTGGATCCTAACTCTCTTTCTTTTTCTATCTCATTTTAGTTTGGCGTCTTTGCTTATTGTATCAAAACAGTATGCTACATTAGATAAATTGTAAAAAAAACTTTTAAATGATAAGTTTCATCTTTTTTGTACTGTTGAATGACACAATTGAATTCTTTAATATAAGAGCTTTTTCAAGTGACTAAATCTTTAATAACTTTATCATATATTGAAAAATAACCAAAGAGTACTTTCAACAACTCTAAAAGTATATACATTACCTTCACTTTCTATGATAAACTTGTTGTAATCTTCTATGGCTTGTGTTCCTAAGTCAAGCTCTTTTTTGAAGTATGTCTTTTATTCATTTTAGAATTTTCATTATCATAAAGGGTATTGAGTATGAAGAATTGGTATTAAGAAGTGTTGTTGCACTTGTGCAATCCCACTAAGCAATATTTATGAGTCCATAATGCCCCCTATATATATATATATAGGGGTATGATCTTCTCATATTAGTGTAAGTCTAAAAACTCTTACACTCGATCTGAGCCTTTCATTTAACTTACATCTAACGGGTTATAATTTATTACTTTATTTACCATTGGATATAAGTTAAGTAAAAGACTCAGATCAAGTTTAAGAGTTTTTAGACTTACATTGGTGTGATAAGATCCTTTTCCATATATATACCTACTACACTATCAATGATATAATACATTTCATTCTCAATACTTTTACACAGGATGCCTATTTTAGGAGTTTGTTTATGAGGGAATTGATTTCCTTTATAAATGGACAAAATAAATTAATGAGGGAACTAATTTTCTCTCTAAAGTCAATGTCAACAATTAGAGAGAGAATTATATTCCATTTTAAATTCAAGACAAATTTAGAGGAGAAAAAGTAATTTATCAAATTAGCGAGTGTCGCAACCGTGTGATCGCAACGTTACGGTAAAAATATTTTAGAAAAAACATCTTTTTAGAATAAAAATATTTTCTAAAAAAATCAGAGGAGTTGTTACCAAAGTTTATTAAAGAAAACCTTAGAAAAACTTTGAAAAATGATCTTTGAAACAAAAAATGAGTTCAAGAGTCATTTAAGTGTAGGGAAAGTATTAGTATCCTATAACGTATGTTTAAATAACGGTTACCTTTAAAACTGTGCAAATTTATTTTAATTTTAAAAAATATTTATTTAACTCATAAACAATAATTATTGTTATTTTTTATTTTAAAAGAAGACAAATTATTTATTGAAACATTAATTGATATCTTAAAAAAATAAAAATTATTTTAACTTAACGGGGTCGGTTTCTGCTCTTACGTATCACGAGGTACAATAGAGAACTTAAAGCCATGTAGTTCTATCTAAAATATTATGAAGTTGATTAATTAAATTAAGTTTAGTAAAAGAAAACTTATTTTAAAATCAAAATTATTTTTATAAGATTATGTTGAGGATACAAGATAACATGGTTATACCGTATTATACGATGAATAATACAGAAGGTGAAGACAAACCACACAGCTATATTACACATCGTTGTAAAAAGAGTGCAACAATTAAGATAACATATCTGATCTTTATTACTTTTCATAGGATTAAGATTAGAAGCATGCATGCTAAGAACCCTATGAAGTTGATTTTCCTTCTATTTCTAGATTTTTACTAATTCTATGTAGTCAGCACGATCGTGCTTTATGTGCAACATAGTCGTTCATAGTAATTTATGGGTTTATGTTCATAACATGGTCATGCTTGTTCATATGTATGACCGTCAGACATTTGTGCATTAGGGTTTTAAGCATAGCCTTGCTTATGAATGTGCATGGCTATGCTTGTAGTCTAGTAAGGTGTATGACATTTTTAAGCACAGACGTGCATGGATGAATACCAGCACAATTGTGCTTGTGTTCTAAAGACTATTCTAGTAAGTATTTTACAATTTACATTATCCTATATGTCCTATGATATCAGCTGGCTTATAAGTCTATATTTAGACCTTCTTCTACGGCCCATATATTTATGTTTGGCCTTTATTTTATTTGAGTTTTATACTGATTTATATATTAATTGTGCATTTAGTATAAAGAGGTCACAAATAGATCTTGGGTTCATTTTGGGCCCAAATTAATGAAAAATCAGAGCTTTATAGCAGTCAACATGCCTAAACCTTTTCAACAAGTACGGGGTGCTTCGACATACATAACCCCATGCTTATGACCTTGCACGGCTGTGCTCATCTGCGGCAAGCCCAATTAAAAGCTTTTAGGATTTTCAAACCCTATAATAAGCCTAAGAGGACATCTTGACTTTTGCTCTTCGATACACCTTTTATCTCGTATCTTTTGCACGGGATCTTTGACATACTCTTGGCGAGACTTGGAGCTTTAAGTAATTATACTTGAAGACTAGGAACTCAGTTCATTCTAGTTTACTTTTCTCTATGACTTTGTTTATGATTGTTTTAGTTCTTTTCTTTAGCATGAGTAATTAAGTCTATAGCTAAGTCTATGAGAGTTATTGTTCATGAATTTATAAAATCTTGAAGTTTGAATCTATGTTTGATTTTCGTATGTGATTAGTATTTATTCTATTTCGCATAATTGTATAATCCTAATTAATTATATCGTTAGAGGACTGTGCCTCAATTATTTAATGGATCTATAGGATAAAATGAGACAAAGGATTAGGTGGACTAAACTAATCTTTCTTTTCTAATCATTATTAAATTAACAAGTTTATAGGTGTTTTATGCTTTCTTTAACTGATGTCTTGTATGACCATTGAGAATGTTACTTTAGAGAAAAGAATATTAATATTGCGTGACCAGTGGGTATTAATAGTGATTGTATAAATGATTGATAATCACAAAGAATACAAATTTAGAATTAAACAGAAAAATAACATAAAGGATTGAATGAGAAACCCGTATGCCCTAGGTTCCTCTCTGGTAAATTTAACCAAAACATGCATTGTATTCTTTATTCTTAGTTTTATAATTGATTT